TATATATATATAGATCTTATTGGGTAAAAATAACATGTGTGCAAATAATATAAATGGATTAGATATGCCTAAATAGGAAAATACATATTTTATTAAATAATTTAACTTTTAAGTTGAATTAGAATTTTTACATGTAGAAAATTTTAAATGGATCACTCCCTTTTCTTAAGGATTGAAAATCATTATGGAATACTTACTTCATGAACTTAACTTTGGATTTTATGTTTAATTAGGGTACACTTTGATACTATTTGTAATTGTTTGAACTTATAACATTCAAGATATTATTTTCTTTTGCCTAATAGCATCATAATTTTATCTTATTGGGTAACTTTCTAAATGCTCACACATTTTAGGAGTGCACCATTATGAGGCACTTAAATTTAGATTTTTTATGAAATTTTAAACATTTTTAACAAAAGAAGTCTCACTATTTAACAATTTAGTTTTGATATATTTAAAGGATCTCATAGAAAATGCTGCTAATTTGGAAAATGGGAAATTTATCATAATGTTAATTGCGTCCCATAGATATCACCATTTTTATTTGTTAGTCATCGTTTGTGAAAAAAATACAAAATGCTCCACATAACATATTGATGAGGTTAAGGTACAAGTACATCCCTAACCCAAATCCTTTACGATTAACTTGCGAATAACATATGCTATGACTCCCATAATGTGGATTGACTATGTTAGGACTTGCTCATTTTATTGCCTTTTCAAGAGGCATTATCTTGGCATGTGACCATAAATCATCAAGGAACATTATTTATTTATTTTTAACATGATTGACACTTCAACCAAGTTAAAAAAAATTGAAATTCAATAGTATGATGCCCATGATTTTTATGGAACATGTAATACTTTATTGGAAACCAAGTAAAATCAATGTTGGTAAAGAATGTAATCTTTTCCAAGTGTGCATTTATAGTATTCGTGAGTGAAACAAAATAGGGACAAACGTTATGTACCATTGAAGTCTTGATGACCGTAATTGATTTGTAGCATTGTAATTTATAAAACTAGAATATCATTGCTCAAATTGAGAGCCATTACATTGTTATCACAATTAGTGATGTTATCATTATTAGCAACACATCAAATAAATCACGCAGATCACACTTTATTTTGATCTCATCTTAAATATTTTTTTTTCTTAACAAACTTCTCTTTCATCTATTTCTCGACAAAAATTTTTCTGTGCGGACTTCTGACGTAGCGCTACGTGCGGCGCAGGGTATTACTGAGTTATTTTCATGTTATTTATGAGTTGTTTTCAATAATCCCGAAATAACCCAGAAATAACCCGCTGTCTTTATTTTTGAGTTATTTCAGGATTATTGAAAATAACCCAGAAATAACCTGCATCGCACGTAGAGATATGTCAGATGTCCGGACAGAAAATATGCGTGTTTCTCGAATTATCACTCAAATATTAAAATTCATAATAAAGTCCCAACATGTTTTTTTTTGTTAATGCGCCAAATTGACAGAATGTCTTATGCATTTACCTATCTTGCACCTAAATTTCAATTTTTACGGGAAAAGCACCTTACCCATACATAAAAAAGTGTATTTCACTGTTCCTACTTTGGGAAAAAGTTTAGTTGGGTGTTGTGTCCGTAAAAATTGAAGTTTTGTGCAGGAAAGGTAAATATATAAGATTTGGGTGTCATAAGCACATATATATATATATATATATATATATGTATATATATATATATATATATTGAATTAAGCTTAAAAATAGGGAGTAATTATTAGGTGCCTATAATATATGCGTGCAAACTTCAGTACAACATGATTACATACAACCAATATATAAGTCCGCATGCATGTGAATTTCACACATAATAATTTTTCTAAAAGCAGTAAGGCATTAAGCAAAAAATCGTACCAGTCATCGTGTTCCCATGGAATTGACGAATTAACACGTGAGTATTAACTTACATGTAGTCCGCGGGTTGGGTCGGCCAGATGGTGAGGTCCGTCTTCTCCGGGGGGTAGACGAGGTGAAAAAAGTAATCCTGCCACTCAAGTATACCGTTTTCATTATTTGCTAGCTTGCTCCCATAGCCCTGTATCTGTCCCCTTGACTGATCATTAGCATACTTCTCCTTTTCATCCACCGGCAATTCGAAGAACCCCTTCCCCGCCGCCTGCAGCCGCTCAATGAGCTCCTCCGGCACACCGTGGTTCACGAGGAACATCACCCCCCACTCCTCTGCAGCTGCCATCACCTCCTCCACGCACCGCCGCCGCCGCCCTTCCTCTGATGAGAACCCCCCGAGATCGACGATTGGGATCTCAACACCGCAGGGGTTCTACAAGGATTTTCAAGCTATTAAATAGTGATAAAATACATACATACTGTTCCGTGGTCACATAACTCGGGCGGCAAAATCAGTATCTTTTTTTTTGAGAAAAATAATTGCATTCAGTCATCTGCGAGATTTTATGTGCGGACAACCAATAGCCGACCAACAACATCTCGGCATAGCCGACGACCACCTAGTGCGGTGTATGCCAAGTTGTTGCACAGCTATTCGTCGTCCGTAGTGACACAATTTGTTATCTTTTTTTGAGGGGACAAATTACTCCTATTTCAAGAGAGACAAAATTGATATTTCAGAAGGGCATATGATAAAACCAACTGTAAAAAATTGAAATTTAGGAAGGAAGGGTAATATCTACATGTAGGCCCGGTCATTACCTTGTTGAGGGAGTCTTGGAGGTGTTGGCGTTCAGATTGTGGGCGGACGAACTCGGCGGGGATGAAGCTGAGGCCGCTGTTTGCGAGGATCTCCACTCTTGGAGTAGGTGGGATTGCTTTGGTGGCCATTGTATGTTGGACGGTGGTGATTGCGGGCTATCTCTGGCGGCGGCTGCGCGGTGAGGTTGTTTGGTTGTGTGAGGAACGAGATCAGATATGGGTGGGGGTTTTATGGAATGGAAGGTGTAGAGAGGCGGAATGGAAGGGCGAAAGTGAAGACCGGACGGTGTAGAAAGGATGTTAGCAGACCACGTGCTCAGCTCACCTTCTCGCAAGGTTTTTACAATATTAGTTGAGCCAATATAAACATGATTTATGTGAAAAATAACTGTTATTTTTTATTATTTTAAATTTGATTGCATAATAATATTATAAGTAACAAAAATGTCATCAAAGTTATTAAGTGTGAGAAAAACTATGTATGAAAAAATATGCTTTATAGAATTTTTTTTTTGTAGTGGCGTTTCTATCCGTAATTAGTTTAAGTTAATTAATAATATAATGAAAACTTAATTAACATCATTATTCAGATATTTGATTGATAGGATGCTTGGACGACATCACATTCTTCCTTAATCGTGACTTAGGCCCGTTTGGGGCAGTTTATAAGTGCTGACGACATTTTGAAAACGTTGTCGTCCTATTTGGTTCACACTTATTTTTAGATTATCAAAAATGGTGTTTTGGAATTTGTAAAAGATGCGGACCGTAGGAAGATCCCCGCAGGCCGCGTTTTCGATCGAATTATTACTCCCGTGACCCTGCCCTCATATGCATTCACCCTCATGTCATCTGACATTTATCCTTCGCATTTCGCATGCCCTAAGCGGTCCTCTACGATCCGGTGCATTTTCTCCTTCGGCATTTCCTTCTTCGGCATTTGTACTCATTCCACATTTCTCTCAACAGGTATAACTCTTCCTTCGCATGTCTCGTCTTCCTTCTTCGTCATTTGCAGTCGTTCGGGAAATGCGGTTGGATCTCTTTTTTTCTGTGGATCTGCAAAACGGTAGATAAGAGATTTTTGTGGATGTGCACAGTGAGAGTCGTTCGTGAAAAGTCGAAGATGATATAATTTTTTTAATTGAACTGCAATCGCAGTTGTTCTCCTGACTGGAGATCTGGAATTTTCCTCATGTTTACATTGACAAAGAGTTGAATGCAGAAACTTGATATGTTGAAATTTTCCCATTTGTTTTGAGGAATACTCTTTGATAAGAATGCAAAAACTTGATAGATGTATATGTATTCTGCATATAGATGTTTATGTTGGAATTTTCCTGACATGAAATGCTGTCTTTTATGCTTTTCTAAAATTCTTATTCTGGGAATGTCAACGAGATTGAGCAACACGTCTCAGCTGATATTCATGCACTACTTTCTGCAGTAGAGATGGGGGTTCAGGCCTTGGATTGTATTGCAGGGGGTGTGAATTTTTTTTAGGCCAAATTGGTTGTTGAGTGTGAATTAGTGTACTAATGTCTAAGCTGGAGTTTCATGTTATGAGAATGTCATCAACATAGATAAGTTGTTCAAAGCTTGTGGTTTTATGAGTTTTGTTTGTTTGATATCCACATACATAGTTTTATACAGTTTGCCAGTGTAAGTGTTAGTGAAGCACGGGGTCTTAACCATGCCAACCATGCCATGGAGAAAAGTATTTGAAACATCCAATTGTTAGATTTTTCTTCAATTTTCAGAGGTAGCAAGAGCAGTGAGCATTACTATTATAATAGGGTACTGGTTATGTGCTTGTGTAGGGTACTGGTTGCGAATTTGAGTATGATGATGCCTCTCATTGCAGCTTGGATGGCCCTTCTTGTAGGGCAACCGCTGCTTCAGCAACAGTAGCTCATTTTGAATTTTAAAAAATGTTAGGAAGGGTAGTTACCTGCTTGAAATATGGTTGGAAGGAATTTATCTGCTTTAAATCCGGGAGGAAGTTGCCTACTTCAAATTAACTGCTTTAAACCTGGAAGGACGCGGTGCTTTAAATTGCCTGCTTTAAAATTGAAATTACCGCAACTTTAAATTTGGGCATAAGAATTGTTTTAAATTTGACAGTTGAAGCTGCTATGCTGAAATTTGATTCGTTTCTTCTGAAGTTGCTTGGCTGAAATGTGTTGGTTTCTTCTAAAATTGAAATTACCATTAAAATACCTGTTGTTTAATTCAGTTGAGTAAATGCATATATGTTTGGCTCCATGGAATGACAATAATTTTTGTCAGGGAAGTTTTCTAAAAGTTCAGTTCTTTTGCTTTGCTAAAATGTTGTGAGGGTGTTATATATTAATCAGGTGTTATATTAATCAAAATAACTCAATGGGCAACTACTACTATATGAATTTATCTTCTATTTTTTTGTTACTTCTTATTTCTACTGATTTTATTGAGATAACTGTGGAGCAGAATTTTGTTGTCGGCAATCGTTGCCTCCATACTTCAGGAAGTATATTTTCTTTATTTCCTTAATTTTTTTGTCTGACCTATTTTCTTTTTAATAACTGCAGGACGGTGAGTTTCAGATATTCAGGGAAGTCCAGGCAAATGATGTGTCGGTGCGGGCTACCGTCATTGCTACTCACGTTACGCCAACCACATAGATACATGCGACAATTCTACAGGTGCCTGCGGTGGGCACAAGGACAGGAGGACTGCAATTTCGTCAGGTGGGCCAACAATACGTCCGTTTTTATGATATCCCAACTGGATACCACTGCTCGGAGTTCGTCGGTATCACGATTGAGAAAATCGCTTCTAGTTCGAGTGCTTCTGTTTCTACGATATACCAGTCAGACATGTTTGCATAGGGTTCTGGGGTGTCAGAACCAGACAGCATTCGTCGTGATATGCTTCTACATTTTAAAGTCAATATTATAATTTTTTTCCTTGTAATTTTAACATGTTATTTTTTTTGGGTCTCATTATATTACATATTAGTGTGTGAAGGTGTATTTCACTTTTATTTATGTAACTGTGCTTATGTGATGTGATCCAAAATATTTGAGTGATATAAATATTTTGTATTTTTATGTCTTAACATTTGAACTTTAATTTTAAAAATTTGCCTAGAATTTTGTTTTTGGTGACTAGAATTTTTCTTCTATGAATTCTTAAATCTTCACTTTTATCTCCCCTATATGATTGTATTAAGAAGGTTGATAAATTTGTTAATATCAAATTTTTGGCAGTCTGTATATGTCAAATGGGTATGCAGTGGGTTAATTGGTTCTAAAATAACAAATGGGTATATATTGTCGTTTTGTTGATAAAATTACAAATTCTGCATGACAGATTGTCCATTTATCTAAAAAAATCTGCAAATAAGCTGTTTACAAAACGCACGAACCAAACAACTAAACACTTATCCATAACAGGGGCAAAATGATCATTTATCCAGAATTAGTTGTTTTCCAAACACAAAAACCAAACAAACACAAACCAAACAACCAGTCAACTTATCCGGATCAACTGCTTATCAGTAGATTATCAGGATAAACTGTTTATCAGCATAAGCTGGATAAGCTG